GATGGTTTTGGGGGTTTGGGTGGGGTTTCTTTGTTTTTTGGGTTTTTTTTATTTGTTTCTTGAGGGTTTTTGAGAGTGAGGAAGCTTTGCTGTAAAGCAAGTGCTGGGATTTCCATATTTCCATGCTGGGAATGGGCTGGAGGGCTCCGAAAGGTGGTGAGGGAAAATGTAGGCACTTTCTAGTTTAAAAAGCCCTTTTATATGCGATTATTTTGATAGGAGCACTTCCCCTGGGGATATGATAAATAAAACTCAAGTGATTGTTACGCTTGAACGCTGCAAAAAGTGAGGCTTTACCTGCATAGAGTACAAGACATTTGACTTCAGATCCTTTTGAAGAATGTCCAGGGAGCAATTACACTTTGCAAGGGTTCATCTTCCAGTGAGCTGTCATAAAAGGAAACAAAAATGCAACACTTTGCATCCAAGTTTTTATTTTCTAAGGACAATTGTATTAGAGGAGTATTTTTAACCTTTGGTTTTACAAAGTATCTGCAAATGTGGTTTTCGTAGTAATTTTCTTTCCTAAGATTTTCTTTTTAACAGTTTCCTCTTTTTCTTGTTTTTTTCCCCTGGCTTTTTCTCGGATTTGACTTTTAATAAACTAGGAGTCAGGAAAAAAAACAGTAGAAAAACTCGTAGAATATTTCAGTGTTGCTTTTATTAATGTTGTAATTTTTAGGTATTTTTACTGCAGGTATCTTCCTGGTGATTTAAAATGTGTCATGTTATTCTTTTGAACACTCAAAACAATAAAATCATATCAATAATGTCCTCTTCAAAGGTTGCTCCTCTACAGCTTTTAAATATGATTTACCAGTTACCTGCCTTAAGTTGGAAGTTTCTCATTTTATTGTAGTCCCTGTAAATTGCTCTCTCTTCATTGTGTTGGTTTAAAACTTCTCTCTGGCAAATGTCCCTGTCCCTTTTTTCTTTGGAGTTTGGCTTTTGTAAGATTAAGTTGGTAGTGACTTCTCACTCGGTTGCTATCTGTCGTTTGGCTGTGAAAAAAGCAGAGGAGCTGACGCTGTTTCGGAACTTGTAAAGTCTTTGGTTCCTGCTCCCGATTGTTTTGTTTTCATTGTTGTTATGTCATTCCCTTCATATCGCACACTCTGCCAAGAGCTGTGATCTGTGAGCTCTTGGTAGCTGTCTGGGGCTGAGTCATGGTGTCTTGCAGTTCATGCGAGTGCAGGCCAGCAGGAGCCAGCAGCTTGGTTCCCTGCATCCCTCTGCATCTGTGCTGTTGTTAAGGGAGTAGCCAGCTCCATGGGGAAAGTGAGTGGTTTTCAAGCAGTGTTCTCTCATTGCCTGTGCTGTACAGTAAGCACAGATATTCTGGGAATTGCAGTCCTCAGAAGGTCATGTGAGTACATTGGAAGCAAGCCAGCTGGGAGAGCAGGTGGAAGAGATAACCATGGCTTCAGCATCAAGGCTGTTAAAGATGGGTCAGGATTCTGCAGGCTGTGCTGTGGAAGGACAAGAAGGCACAGCACTGCTGATGTGGCTTCAAGCACACAGAGTGACAAGGCTGACAGAAGACAGCTGAGAGGTGAGGCTGAGAGGAGCAGAGCCAACAGCTGCTGTGTTTGAAGTTCAGGACATGCCTTGTTAGCAGTTAGCACATAAAGACTTAGCTGGCCCGCTGGATCTGTGAGGTCCATTAAGATTAAGGGTGGTCACATAAGGCACTGGAATATTGGTAATGGAATATTTTAATACAGGCCAGAAGCACTGTGTTAATTCCTACTGCCCAGCTTCAGGCTCTCTTGACAGGCTAGATTAAGAAGCTAACTTCCCATGTATAGATCCACTGAGACACCACGGGGTGTTCCAATGCAGAAACCTAGGTCAGGTACTTTAAATCTCTAGGAAAGAGTGTCTTTCTGTTTGGGCTACATGTAAGGTACATATGTAAGTTTGGTGTCTAAGGTCCAAAAATTTTGTATATACAATTAAAATGGCTCCACAGATCTCTTTTACTTTCAAGCTCTCCAACTGAATGTTTATTCTACTTGTTATTATACTAAATAATATGGCAGTTTGGATCTGTGATTCAGTCACTATGAAAACACTACAGAACATAGCATGGTAAATCTGAGGCATCAGATTTTGGGATTTGTATGTTGCATGAGATGGATCCTCAGCCTAGGTAGGGTACTAATCAGTCATGTAATGATGATATTAGGATGTTACCCAGGATTTTGTAAAATTCTGTAGTGAAAATTGTGGACTGAAGGTGATTGAGAGTCAGGATATGATGAAGGAATCAAGACAGTGTAAAAGAAGCCTTGAATTGAACTCTCTGAAGTCCCTTTATGAAGTAGGGATTCTAGGTCTAAGCATTTTACTGAAAAGCAAAATGTGACTTCTTGAAAAGCCCAGCTGCTTGGTAGGGAGAAAACAAATATGAAAGATTAAGCTAACAGTTACTAACACTAATACTGTAGTATTTTTCCTATCTCTTAACTGGTTTGGGTTTCTTGGGGTTTTGTTTTTGTGGAGTTTTTTTGGTTTTTTTTTTTTTTTTTTTTTTTTACTTTCTTGGTGATTCTCATTCATCATTTATTAGACTGCCTTATGAATGAAACTTTATGTTGATGCTCTTGAATGAATTCCATTCCATCAAAGAGCAATTGACAGGCATTGGAAGCAAGAAAGATGTTTTGGTTTGGTTTTCTTTTTTCACCAGCTAT